CCTCATGCCCAGATGCCCCCTCACACCCCAGAGTCCAGCTCCCTACACTGGCACCCTCCTCATGCCCAGATGCCCCCTCACACCCCAGAGTCCAGCTCCCTACACTGGCACCCTCCTCGTGCCCAGCTCCTTGCCCAGGTGCCCTCACCGATGCCCCGGTAGCGAGGGGGGTTGGCTTTCTCATCCAGCTGCAGTTGAGTCTTCACATATTCAGTGGGGAAGGTAATGCAGATCTCGATGCCTCCGGCCAAACCACCTGGGGCAGGGGAAACACAAGGGTTGGGGGAGGCCCCAAGCAGTGCCACTCCAGGCTGGGGAGGGGGGCGAGGCTCAGCCATGGACAGGAGGCGGGGGTCAAAGGAAAGACCTTTGGATTGGAAATCCCAGGGCTGGGTTTCAATCCACACTCAGATCCTTAAGTGACCGTAAGGGACGCAGGGGAAGCCCCCTCCCCCTCGGCGGGGTGGGGCCAGACAGCCCAGCCCAGCCAGCAGGGACTCCCTCTACCTACCTTTCTAACAAAAGGGCCTCTACCAGCTCTGGATGGCGCATACAAACTCCCTCCCCTCTCAAGCTTAGTGGACAGCACTGGACAGAGTGTGAGTGGGCTTAGGCCCTGATCCCTGGGGACACACCCCCTCCTACTGGGAATCTTCCATGCCACTCCCCCAACCCCGACCGGGGAGACGTGACTCAGCCGGCCCAGAGCCACCCCTCGGATCCTGACTTCAGCGCCAGAGATTTCAAAGATCCAACCCTCTCATTCTACAGAGGGGGAAACTGAGGCCCAGAGGAGACACGGGACTGGCCCAGGGCCCAGCGGGCAGAAAGAGACGGAGCACTGATTAAAAGCCAGAACTCTTAACCACTCCACACCTGCCCAGTCTCTGGCCTTCACTGAGAGCCCCCCTCCCCACTCCTTAAATCCACGACTTTGGACTCCCCGTCTGCTCTGCTTAGCCCCAGGGCTGACACACTGTGGGACAGAGACGGTCTCTGGAACCTGGAGTCCACTTCCAGACTGGACTGCCTCAGTTTCCCACCTCACCTAGAGCCTGGCCTGGATCCCTTGGAGGGAGGGGAGAGGAGGGAACACCTCAGCCAGGACTTTGCCCCGTAAGCGCATGAGCCTGGACCATGTTGGGGCACGGACCAGAGGCCCAGCATGCGGCCTTCAGAAGGAACCCAGGGCCCCAGGTTCCAAGCCAAGCTCCTCCCTCCCTCCCCACAATGCTTCTAGAATTTCAGTGAGGAAGAGGTTAGGGATGAATGAAAGGCACCCAACAGAAAGACCATCCAATTAGTCACATGATCTCTGGGGCTCAGATCTCCAAGGCCACTCTCTTCATTTTACAGATAAGGAAACTGAGGCTTGGGGAAGGGAAAGCGCTGGACCAAGGCTTACACTGGTGGTAAAGATAATTCAGAAATGGGCTTTGCGGCCAGGTGCTCTGACTCTCCAACTAAGCCTCCTTCCCCCGGACCCTGCTCCTCCTCCTCATTCTTCAGGTCCAGCCCCTTTGTTTTACAGGGAAGGAAACTGAGGCCTGGAGAGGGCAAGTCCTTTACTCGAGGAACAAGTGGCAGACCCAGGATCGGAATCGAAAGCTTCTGGACCTCCCACCCCTTGCACCAGCATCCTGAGAGGCACGGGGCACCCCCAGAGCACCAGCACGGGCACCTGCACCTGACCGGAGAAGCAAACAAAGCCCCGTCCCCATGCAATCCTACAGACCCTCCCCCACCCCGGGGAGGCCCCGGTCCCCCAGGACGAGGCGAGGCAGGGCAGAGTCCCGGGGGAAGGAGGCCCCCGCTTCGCTGGTGACGAGGGTTGGGGGGGGAACACCTTCCTCCGCGCCCCAGCTCCGCCCCCCCGGGTGGAAGGGGCGACGAGTCCTCAGGCCCGGAGGCAGGGGGCTGGCGGCGTGCTCACCTGCCAGGATGGCCTTCCCGGGGTGCGTGAGCTTGGCTTTGCCGGCTGGGGCGGCGGCGGCGGCCAGCGAGCGGCCTGGCGCTGGGGCGGGGGCCATGGTCATGATCACGGAGGGAGGTCCGCGCTGGCTCGGCGTTCAGTGCTCTCGGGGCCCGCGGCAGGCGGACGGGCCGACCGGACCGACCAGGAGCGGTGGCGGCGGCGGCGGCGGCGGCGGCGGGTTCTGGGGGGCAGGGGGCGTGGCCTGGGCGTCAGGGCCTCGCCCCACCCCCTCCCGCCCCCCGCCTGAGGTCGGACGGCTCCGGCTCCGCCCCGCCGCCTGACCCAGGCTCCTCCCCGTCCCGCCCTCCGGGGCCCGGGTCCGAGGCCCGCCCCCACGCCTGGCCACTCCCCCCCCAGCCTCCCTCCCCCCCCAGCCTCCCTCCCCCAAGCCCGCTGGCCCCGGAGCGGAGCGAGAAGCGAGGATCCCCCCGGCGCTGCGCGGACCCAGGCTGATTGCGGGAGGGAGGGTGCTGCCGCTGGGGCCCGGCGCTGTGTGGTTCTCATCTGCTGTTCCTCCCCGCCCCCCAGGCTGAAGGCAGCTCCCCGCGGCCCCCCTCCCGTGTGTGTGCCGCCACGCCCCCAGGAAGAGACAGAAGATCAGGGTGTGAGGGATAGGTCTGCCACGTACTGGCATCTGTGTAACTGACAAGCCTTTCCCTCCGTGGGCCTCAGCTTCTCCGCCTGTCTCATCTGGGCCTTGACTACACAATCGTAGAATTCTTTCCATTCTGTTTTCTCTGGCTCTGCTAGTCTCTGTTCTAAACCCCCTCCGAGCTCTCTGTTATAAGGGCCTTTCCTTTGGGCCTGGGGTCGCCGGGGGGGGGGGGTGGACTTCGAAGATCAGCGGGGGGGGGATGAGCAAGGAGGGGAAGGAAGAGGCAGACAGGGGAAGGTTGGGGGGGGGGGATGTGCCATGATCTAGGCACGTGGGGGTGATCCCCTTTCTAGACTCATCACATCAGTCTCTGACTTCCTTCCCCAGCCCTGTGACTCATCCAGTCCAGGCCTTTGCTAGGCTCCATTTGCAAAGACTTTCACCTTTCTTTTGCTCTGCACCTCTCAGTCCTCTCCCCTCAACAGGCTCCTCCTTTCTGCCCAGATCCCTACGCTGTCCCTCCTCTGGCTGTTTATCTACCTCGGACTCCCTCCCTCCAGCTGGAGTTCTGCTGTGTTCTCACCAAGGCCTCCCTTCTGTGTCCCAGAATCCCAGAGGTCCCTGACAATGGGAGGAACATCCCAAGTCCATAATGTACCTGAACCAAAATTCCCAAGGATTTCCCCACACCTGACAAACGAGGGACTTCCTACCTCCTCACTCCCCTTTGGGATGGCGCCCATTCAGGGCTTCCTTATCCCAGCTCTACATCTCCCTCTGCATCTTCCACCGATTCTGGACCCCGCCTTCGAGGGCCAAGCTGTCTTTCAGCTGACTGTCTTTTAATTGCTTGAAGAGAACCCAAGCACCTTTTCTTCCCCTCCTTTTTTAAAGGCCGGCTCTCCCCATCTTGCCCAGGCTGGCTGTGGAGGGCTACTTTCAGCTTCTGATCCATTCTGCTCAGCCCGGGAGATACTGCATCTCTGACCAGGGTGGATCAGAACCCTCCTTAGGCAAGCTGGGGGCCTCCTGCTCCCAGGGTCTTATCATGTGATAATATCGAATGTAGTGAGGCTGCAATCAACATGGCCCACCCCAACCCAGACCTCTGAGCTCCAGAGAGGCAGTCCCATCTTCCCAGGGAGCTAAGGTTCCGTGCATGGAACCATCACACCTCCCAGCTGCACACAGCCTGCTCCCCAGCTGGACCTCTTGGCCTCCAGCCTGATCATCTTCCCTTGGCCTCACGTATCCCCAGCGTCTCTAGTCTCTCTGCCCTCCAATCCACTGCTTGCGTGGCTACTAAAGTCCAGGTCTGACCGTGTCACCCGAGGTCAAAAAGGTACAGGGGCTTCCTATTATTCCTAGGATTAAATACAGACTCTTCTTGTTAGCATTTAAAACCTTTCACAATCCTGCAGCAGAAGGCCCATGCACCTCAGTTCCAGCCCTGCAGGCCTATTTGCTACTTATACCTGTGCCTTTGCACAGGCTGTCCCCTCTGCCTCGAATGCCCTCCTTCCTCTCCTCTGAGAACCCTCAGCCTCTATTAAAATTCAGCTTAGATGCCACCTCCTACTCGAGGCCTATCTGGATCTAGCATCTGGGGCCCTCTCAGACGATTACATTGTATCTACTTAGGACATACATTGTATTCACAGCTGGTGTAAGTTTACTTGTTTCTCTACAAAGACAATGTCTACTCTCAGAGGACAGGGGCTGTTTTCTGTCTGTGTCCCCACCCACTGCTTAGAGCAAAGCCCAGGCTCACCCGGGGGGCTGGGATCGAGTCCCATTTATTGTTCCTCCAGACCACGTGACTCCTCTTGAGCCCACCCAGTGCCCAGGGAGGGAGCACCTGGGACTTGGGGTTAGGAAGACTTAAGTCTGAATTCTGCCTCACACACTTAGAACTGTGTGACCATAGTCAAAACCTACTTCCCCTCTCAGTTTCTTGATCTATAAAATGGCGGTAACAATAGCACCTACTTCACCTGAGGGTTGTAAAGATCAAAGGAGATAATATATGTAAAGTGCTATAGAGATGTTAAGGTCCAGTGGTTTGTTTGTTAACACCAAAAGCAGTCACACCCAAGGAGAAGAGAACAAATATTCCTTGCGAGACCTTGGGTTGAAGCTTGCCTGAGGCCCATCCTCCCTGCTATATCTCAGGAGAATTGAATTCTATGGTCTGAAAAAAGGGTCCAACTCTCCTGGCAAGGGGCCCGCTGCGTGTGTGTGTGTGTGTGTGTGTGTGTGTGTAAGGGATCACTGCATTTTCACACCTAACTCACCGACCAGTCAGGGCCCACCCAACCCCTCTAGCCTCCTCCCAGTACAAGTCAATTCAATCCACCTTTCAGGATCACAGAATCTAGTTTGAAGCAGGCCTAACACCCTCATTTTTGTTTTGTTTCTACTGCCAAGGAAACTGAGGTTCAGAGTTGTCACAGAAGAATCACCTGCCAAAAACTAATAGATCAGATCAGATCAGAAGAATCGGAGGTCAAATCTTGAACCCGGGCCTTTGAAGCTGGTGGCTGGGAGAGAGGGGATCCAGAGCTCTGACCTAAAGCCTCAAGAGCCACCATTAAGAGTTTGGCCAGATTCCCGAATGGGGGGCACACCAAATTTACCAGAGTTAAAGTCTGGGTCACCATGGGGTACACTCTCCAGAAGAGTTGTGTGACCTTGGGTAAGTAACTTGTCCTCTCTGAAGCTCAGTTTTCTAATTTGTAAAATGAGTGCTGGGCTATCAGTCCCCTTTTCCCATGCTGTCTTATCAGGGCAGAGGCAGGAAGGGGTACTTTTAGCCCCCTGCACTGTCTACTGAAGCAGGCCTTGTAGCCCACAGGGGTGCCAGGGACCCCTAGGTCCAACCTCATTTGTCAGGTGGAGGAGGGTGAGGGTCGCCCAGTCATCATTTGGGCATTTGGGCACATGCCATGCCTGGCACTGAGCTGAGACTGTTCACCCTTCAGGCTGCTGAATGCTCACACCAGGGTGGACTGCACCACACTAGGCTGGGGGCCTTCCTGGCTGCTCCCGCCCCCATCCCTTCTCCTACTGGCTCTCTCCACTCAGACAAAGGTCAGATGGGCTGTCCTTTCTCTTATGCAAGACGTGGAACAATCTTTTCCTAAGGGCAAGCGAGCCCTGATCTTGGCTGGGCTTTTCGTGTTTGTGTGGGATTCAAAGGAGCTGAAAGGAACTGAATGTTCTGTTTTCTGAGGCTCCCAGGCAGCAAGTAGCGACAGGCAGGATTTGAACACAGCACACAGCGCTCTCTGCCTGAGGTTATGTTGCTTCTCAAGTCGAAGGGGCTGGGGGCTTCTCCCAGAGGCCACAAAAAGGAACCCTGGAGGGGTCAGATGGGGTCAGTGTGTTCCCATGGCCCCCAGGGGCACAAGCTCATGGCAGGCAGGTGGGCCTGGCCGCCAGACTCCCAGCAGCATCTACACTCTCTGGGACCACTGGGCCTCTCTCTGCCTGGCAGGCAGCTTTCCCAGCCCCAGAGAGCTTGACCAGTTTGGCTAACAGGAAACAGGGCTCCTGAGGCTGGCTGCCCTCAGGCTGAGGAGTTTCTGCTGATGCCCAGATGAGATCCGGTGAGACCCAGAGAGTGTGAGAACTAAGTCTCTCGTGGGATATTGGAAATGACCAAGAATCCATCCCTCCAAACAGTAGCAGCAGCCAAAGGCTCTCCCCGCCTCCTCGGCACAGGTGGGGGACTGCGCAGCTGGCTACTTTCCTATCGCACTTCTTCAGGCCAGGTCGGCCGCTCTTGCAGAACTTTCTCTGTTTTCTTCATTACTGAGGGATGGCTCTCTGGGCAGGGAGGAGAGGATGGAGAAGGAGAAATGAAGGTGCAAAGTCTCTACCTGTTCTGTCTTAAGTGGACGCCTCTCAAAGGCCCAAGGTCCTTCTCAAGATTTGGAGCCAAAAGGGGCCTAACATAAGCGCATCATTGCAGCTGGGGCCACTCAAACCAGCTCTCCCAGAGTGCATCTGGTTGGCTAGTCTGGGCTCTGGGTCCGGCTGGGAGAGAGATCTGGAAGCCCGGAGCCTGTGACCTGGGCCACCCTGGACACCCTCAAGGGTCCCAAGAACCTCTCTGAACTCCAGCAGGCAGCCTGGGGGTCTCTGGAATGGGGGCGCAGTGGAAATGCCAGAAGGAGTCCAGGGTTCAGCTGTGCCTTCCTGTGGGACCAGTGACCTTCCGAGTAAATTCTCCTGTCTAGAAAATAGAACCACCCAAACCCTGCCACCTTCCTGTCTGAGGATCACATCAGGCCAGGGATGAGAAGGCACTTTGTTCTTTGGAACAAAGTTCTGAACACAGGATTTTTTTTTGTTCAAGCTCTTAGGCAAATGAGCTTTAAAAAAAAAAAAAGGAAAAGAAAAAATTAAACGCCATGGAAACCGATGGGAGCGAGGCATTTTCTGGCAATGTTACAAGTGGAGTCAGAGGACAGCAGGGGGAGAGGGTGGAGGAGGTGCCACAAAGCCAGCCCGGCCTTGCAGACCAGCTGGTGAGCACGGCGTCCCTCGCTGGCTTCCTGAGCCACCCTTCCTTGCCCCGGGCCTGCCAAGCCTTGGATTTCGGTCAGCTGCTTCTGTCGATGATCCAGCATCGAAGGCCAGGAGCAGGCCATCCCCCACTAGCAGCTTCTCTTCAAGGGAACCTCGGCTTGTCTCCCTGACAGACCCAGGGGCTCATTTCAGTCCCCATGGATGTCTCTCTGGACAGCCCAGAACGTTCCCACTCCTGTTAGACACTCTGACACTTGGCTACACTTCCAATGCCCTCCCCCTCTATTCTTGGTCTGTTCGATTCCCACTAATAAGCCGTACCTCCCAGGAAGCCCTCCTGGATTTCTCCCAAAGACCATTTGGTTTGCCCCCCTCTCCCATGCACTGATGATCACAGGATGTAGTCTTGGAACTCACATAGATGAAGCAGAGAGGCCCAGAGAGGGAAGCAAGTTGCCTCAAGCCCGACCTCCACACCCAGGGCTTGGTCCTGTGGGTCTGGCTGGGATCTCGTCTCGGCCCCCACACAAGGGCCATTTGTGGGATGGCGTCCTGGAGGGCCCTCCCATCCCCCGACTGATTCTGTGCCCGCTCGGGGGCCCCCGGGATCCCTGCAGGAGCCAGCCAGCGGCCCCACTGGGCCCCACCGCAGGCGTCCTACACGCATGCTCAAACCCCATTAGCCTGTTCAGAGCACTGGACCAACACAGCCACCACTACACGCCTAAGACACTGGGGTTGGCATTTGCTTCCCCGGACAAACAGTACAGTCGTCCCAGGGGACATCTCGGGGTGGGGGCAAGGGGACGAGAAGACGGGGAGCAGCTGATGCCACAATGTCATCGTGCAGCCAATGGGACGCTGGACGGGGCAGCTCCGCTTCTCTGGGCTAGGACGGACTTCAGTGGCAGACCTCCTCCTCCCGAGGCAGCTCCCCACCCTTCTAGGACCTGACAAGCAGCCTCCGGCAGGCCCTGCCAAGAGCCTGGTGATGGCCTGGGGGCCCCGCCTGGGCAGCGGCATAGCCAGGTCCACCCTCACAGCCTCCCAAGGGAGGCGTCGGGCAGCAGAAGGAAGCGAGGGGCAGCGGCACCATCTGGCTTAGTTATAATGGGCTTTAATACTCATGATTAGCACAAGATTCATAACCATAAATTATACACTCCTCTATTTCCAGGACAGCCAATGTTAACGGTGTATGGTTGTTTGGAGAGGGGCACACAGGAACAACCCTGTTGGCGCTTGACTGTCACGGTAACCCAGAGCAGAGGCAGCCTGTGGGCACGCAGGGTGCCAGGGCCCCCAAGGCCTGCGCCATAGACATGGCTGCAGCCTCCCACAAGCAGCTGGGCTCTTCTCGACTGCCCCCTCCATGACACGCCTACCCAAGAAAAATTCCATGACGGCCCCCCGGGGCTGCCTCCGGGCCTTCTTTCAGCCTAGGCCTGGCACCCCCAGGCATTCACACAAAACAACCAAAAGCCGAGAAGGCAGATAAGGCAGTGAGTTTCCCAAATCCCCAGGAAAGGACAGAGATGAATTCTGAGCCCATCAGTTGGGTGTGCCACCTCAGCAGGCCCCCCCACCTCCCAGGGGAAAAGGGGCTGCTGGTCTTCTCACTATGGCTATGTTGGTGAGGTCCCTGCAAGTCAGGGACAGGCAGCGCAGCAAAAGTCCGACACCTGGGGAATGGTCCCTGCTCAGAGCTGGAGCCTAAAGAACATCAGCAAAATAAATAAGCACCAGGGTCCTTTGGAGAGCGTCCTGAGGCTCAGGAGGAGCCCGTGGTACCTCTGGGATCTCTGGACATGCCTCCGAGAAGCCCCCAGGAGCACCTTTTACATGTTGAAACTGTAAACAGGCGCCTGGGTGAATCCTGGAGCTGTATATCCATAGGAAAAATTGGTTTGAGAAGGTCCGGAAGTGGGGCCTGCCGTCAGCATCAGCTGCTGGCCTGGAAGAGAAGACGGTGAAGGGTTAGAGGGCACCCAGGGCACCCGGCTGTCAGGCCTGGCCAGGGCATGGGAACGTCTCCCAAGGGTGGCTTTGGCAGTCCTGGGGGGAGGGGGGTTTCTGTCCAGCCCGTAGGCTCTGGAGGAGCCCCCACCAGCCGTGGCATGTGGCTGGCAGCGTGGCACAGGAGGCTCTCCTGCCAAACCGGCCTAGTCTCCATGGACATGTTAAGCCACTGTGAAAGCTGGTGCTTGGAAGCTAGGGGCAGAGGGGATGCCTGCCAAGCCCCAGCTGTCCTGGGACAAGAGCTGCTTCTGGCAGTCACAGCTGGTGCTGGGAATGTGGCACTTACTTAGCCGAATCACCTGTGTATCACTCATGCCCATCAAAATCTAAAAAAATCAGATTCACATTTAATTGACACTTGTACACACTCGCCCCCCCCAGCACGCTGGCAGCCCCCAGTCACATGCTCCGTGCACACACTTGCCTGCTACGGCATGGGTTAGCACGTCCTGGGCAGAGCCCAAGGGTCCGGGAAGGGGAAGCTGCGGGCCAGCCAGGAGAGACGGGGATCAGGCCTGACGCCGCCTGACAGGGTCTCTGGGCAGGCCCTTCAGGGAAGCATTAGTCACAACTACGAGGCAGGCTGTGCTGGGCATCAGGCCGCCAGCCTGGCAGTGAGCTCACTTGCTTCTCCCTTCCTCTGCATTCAGGCCCCGACCACCACCGCCCACCCCTTGTCCTCATCCCGGAGCGCCCAGAAGCACCCGGGACTGTGGCACACAAAGCGAGCATTCCAACTGCCTTCTAAAATTAGGGGTGCCTCTGTGCCAGGGAAGCCTCATCACGCCATCCCTCCGTCCTCAGCCACACCTACCGAACACGATGGGCGTGGCCTCCACGCCCTGCTCCTCCCCTTTCCTCAGGCTCTCAGAAGCGTCCAGTTTGTCCACCTAGGTTGCAAGACACCAGGACGAGGGTGAGCTGCAGGGAGCCTGGGCTAGCCCCATCATCTTCGGGCGGCTTTTTTGAGCACCAGCCCCAGCCCCCCAGCCCTGACAAAGGTCTCCCAGAGAGAGCCTCCTGCAGGAGGACCATCTGAGTCACCTCAGCCAACAGTCAGGAAGCCTTAAATTAGAACCTGCAAGACCCACACACCAGGGATGCAATCAACAGGCCGTTATTTGCGGCTGGGCGGCTGGCTGCGTTTTCATCGCCAGGGTTATTTACGCCCGAGTTAGTGCAGAGGCCTCAACTCCATCACTTCCCCAACTCTCAAGGCCACGGCTGCCAGAGTTTTCTGGGTCCAGGTGCCCCCAGGTGAGCCAGGACCGATAAGAACAGCTCCAGGGTCAGACTTGTGCGCCTGGACGTCAGCACACCCAGGAGGCACGGGGATGCTTACAAGGATTCAGAGATGCACCTCTGGGCATCAGAAAGAGGCCTTCTGGACAGAAGACAAACAGAATCGGCTCAGGGGAGCAGCCTTCCTTGAGAGCTCACCAGTGCCGGGCCCCTAATTGATGACTTCCACCAAAGAACCAGGATGTCGTCACTGGGCATTCCCTCCCTGAGGGCCTCAGGAGACCACTGTGACCTCAATCCCCACCCTTCACCTCATAACCAGTGGTCTGGGGAGGATTCTCTACACATTTGGGCTAGTCTTGGGTCAAGACAGACAAGGGCCAGGCCTGGCAGACCCTTCCAGCTGGCAAACTTGTCTGTCAAGGCTCACACTCCTCAATGGCACAGAAGTCATCCCTGTACCCCCAGGAAGCCAAGGAAGACCCTGGTTCCCCCCCCCCACCCCAAACTTCCAAGCATTTAATGAAAGCCTTCGGTCACCTCAATGGTGCCTTCCAAGACTCCTGCCTGCCTGCTCCTGGGCTCAGGGGCTCCCAGACCCCACTTCCAGGACAGCCCTGATACCCTACCTGGTGGAGAGAACACTCCACCTGGGGGGGGGCATTTACAGATGTTTGGGCACAGGCTGTTTCATCAGTCTCCACTGGAGCTTCACAAAGTGTCACTGCAAGGGTCGTGGGCATAGCTGGCGTGGGCACGTGAACGAGGAAAGAGGACAATGAGACGGCACCACCAGCGCCCTCCGCCATTCTGGTCCTGGCTGGCCGGGTCCCAGGGGAATGAGCTCTGGGGGAGCTGGTCCAAACCCAAAGCTCTCTGGTGGTTCGTAGGGAGCAGCTCTGACAAACAGGGAGACCGAGGCCCAAGGCCTTGGTGCGACGACTAGTAGGAGGCCACCTGGCTAATAAATTATACGGCCAGGATTCAAACCCAGTTCCTCAGGGTTCCAGTGTTCCTGGTTCTACAGCACGCTGCTGTGCACACTCATGTCCACATCCCCAGAGCTCAACGCCAACTGGAAAAGAGGAACCTGGTATCCTTCTATCCCATGAGATGAGGGTGTAGGCCCGGCCTGCTCTCCGCTGTCCCCTGGTGGCAGGGCTGGTGGAAGCCTCCCGCCAGTCACAGGGTGTCACTCCCTGCCTCTTCCTAAGGTCTCCGAGCCCCAAGGACAGATGAGGCGCCGTGACTGACTGGGGCAGGGCTTCTGTATCAAGGTTCTGCACGGAGGCCCGGCCAACCCCAGTTTCCTCCCATGTGCCTCCCACGCGCTCATCCCTGGTCCAGCACTGTGCGGCTTGCTCTGGACTACGGAAGCTGGGTCCAGCTCTGCTCAGGGAAGGGCAGAGAACACGGGGCCAGGGGAGCCCAGAGCAGAGCCCTGTGTCCAGCGAAGGGAGCGAGCCCTATGACACAGCTCTGCATGTCCACGGGTGCCCCTCACTGGGGCAGCACCTTTTACCTGCCTGGGGGGTCAGCCAGGAGGGCAGCAGAGCTCAAGGAAGGGTTGACCCTGATGGCTTCATGCCGACAGCTGCATTCTACCCGATGGAGACAGCATCATTTTACAAATTCACATGGCCTCAACAGGCTTCTTAGGAGCGTAGGGATACCCAGCCCGAGCCCAAGCTCCCGTGGCCCTGAGTGGCAGGGACCATGGGCCCAGCAGAATGCAGGGGCATCAGGGTAGCCACGGTGGCAGCTACGGTAGGATGGGGGGATCCCGGCTGGCCTCGTCCCTGCGGGGCAGGGTCCACGGCCACTCAGGCCCCAGTGCTAGCAGAAGGGCAGAAAGGCCGGGAGCCTCGGGCCTCGCTTTCAGAGCCCGTTTCCCACTAAGCATTCCATCTGCTTCCATTTCCTGTTCCTAAAGAGAGTGACCACTGTGCTGGTAGCACCGAGTGCTGGGCATCCCCAGAAGAGACAGATGGCTTTCGTGTCACACACACTCAGCAGACAGGAGAGCCACAGCCTTCCATAGAAGCCACCTTGCCCAGAATGAATCCGTGCACAAGCAGCTGGGAAGGCCTGTGGGCAGGGGCTGCCTCTACCCAGTGGTGGGAAAGGTCACTTACAAATCCGACCGATCCCAAGGTGGAGCGGGGGCCCATTGTGTCGCCTCGCCCCCTCCCCCTTTCTGCCTAGGTCGAGATGGGGGCTGGGGCCAGGCCTCAGCCCCGGCTGTCCACGAATCGCAAGGCGTACAGGGCAATGGGAAAGGCCCGGACACAGGGACCAGCGGCCAGGAGCCCCAGGGAGTACACACGGAGAGAAGGCTGGCCCTGGGGTCAGCAGAGCCGGGTTCAAAACCTGCTGCAGACACCAGCTGAGCACGAAGCTCTTCAGTCTATGCAGCAATGTTATGTCATCTGTAAACAAGTGTCTCCTAGGGCAGCTAGGTGGCACAGTGGATAGAGCACCGGCCCTGAAGTCAGGAGGACCTGAGTTCAAATCTGGCCTCAGACCAAACACTTGACACTTACTAGCTGTGTGACCCTGGGCAAGTCACTTAACCCCAATTGCCTTTAAAAAAAAAAAAAAAGTATCTCCTGAGGCCATGGTAGGAACACTGTCTGCACAGCTTCCTCTGGCCTTGGTTTCCTCATCTGTTAGGTGAGGAGGGTGCCACTGGCCAGCCTCTGAGGCAGCTTCTGCACGTCACACACACAGGTCCAGAAGGACAGGGCTTCCCGAGGTCACAAAGGGGACAGGCAGCAGAGCCCCAAAGCCCCGGAGCTCTTCCCAGCAGGCCCCACTGCCAGCTCGGGCCAGCAAAGCTGTGTGAGGCCGTCAGCACGAGCAGCCACCCTGAGGGCCCCCCTCGAGGGCGAGCCTGGCACTGGGGATGTGCTGAATTAATGTGTGTGCTGGGGGTCCTCTGAAATGAGAAGCGGTGACCGCCACGACTCAGCGGCCCGTCTGCTTCCTTCTACAAGAGCGTGGCCCCAAGCACGTCCATGTGAAACACACAGACAGACACACCCACACCCACGGTCTCACACTCACACCCACACTTACAGTCTCACCCAGACCCACACTCACACCCACACCCACAGTTTCACACACTCACTTCCTCGTGCATGCGCACACACACATACACACATACACACTTACAGTCTCACCCAGACCCACACACTCACAGTGTCACACACTCACATCCTCGTGCATGCACACACACACTCACACACACACAGTCTCACCCAGACCCACACACCCATGGTCACACCCACAGTCCTATTCTCACACCCACACCCATAGTTTCATACATTCACATCTGTGTTGCCGTGCATGCATGCACACACACACACACACACACACTCTCACACACACACTTACAGTCTCACCCAGACCCACACGCAGTCTCTCATGCTCACACCTACAGTCTCACATTCACACCCACACTTATAGTCTCACCCAGACCCACACACTCACACCGACACCCAGTTTCACACACTCACATCCTCGTGCATGCACACACACACAGACACTCACACACACCCACACCCACACACTTAGTCTCACCCAGACCCATACACTCACACCCACACCCAGTTTCACACA